TAATTGCAACGGATTAATTGTTTATTAAAAAATCGGATTGCATAGAAATCTGATTAATTTCGGTAAAATTCGGCATGACAATTTTGTATAAGTCAGAATTCTCTTATTTTTTATTACAAAAGTGTTTACCATAAAATCGAGAATTTTAAATTAGGTAAAATATTATAACATTTATCTTTACCTAATTGCAACAGATCATGTTTATTTTAAGAAAAAAAAATGAATTTCACAAAATCAGACCCAATTTCAAATTGAAAATTAAAACTTAAAAATTTCTTATCATTCGGCTACTACTTTTTTTAGTTCTGATTTTGTTTTTAAACATAAAACAGAGTCAGAAATATTAATTTAAAATTCAAATGAAATCATATTGAAACATCCTAAAAATTTGAGTTTTGTGTAATCCTCTAGAAAATAAATTTGAAACTGAATGCATACACTTACACAATTTTTTCCGTTCTTAAATTAAATGATTTAGAATTTTAAAATAATAATGTTGTAGATTATCAAGAAAGACTTTTTACAATCTCCGTTATATTTGATTATATAATCTTCATAAAACCAGTATAAATCATATAATATATATCTTGTTAAATAATTTAATTTAATCATTTAAGTCTATCTATAATCCTAATATAATTTGTGGATTTACCAAAAGACCAAACAAATAATGTTGTGTATAAGATTGTGTTTAATAATATATAAGTTACACTTTAATTTATTCCAATACATGCGTTCTACGTTCATCTAATCATCCAAATCTAAATGTCTACCTTAAAAAAACTAACCCGTGAATCACACGGGTACTGCCCTAGTTATTATGTAAGTAGGATGAAACATAACACTCAGTGAATTTCTCTTTGAGAAAAGAAAAAACTAGTAATAGAAAGGAAAAACAAGAACTCGGTAATACAAAAATTATCTTCTTTTGATTCGCCTTATTTGCGTGTTAGTATCAACTTAACTAGTATGGTACCCGTGCGCAGCACGGCGGGGTTATTTTCTCAAACTTTTTTTTTAAACTTTATTTTAATTATTTTTTTATAAATTAATAATTTAATTACAATAGAAAGAGGATAGAGGAATACAAAATATAAACAACAATCATATATTATTAAACACTTCTCTATACACAACATTATTGGTATGATTTTCTTTCAAACCTCTTTCTCCACAAATTAAAATTTTCAGACCCTTTCTGTTAGTAACACGGGAGACAACGACATATAACTGGCCATGACTAAAAACTGGTTTCTTCAATAATAAGCCAACATGCGATAATGATTGACCTTGCCTCTTGTTTATAGTCATTGCGTACGAAACCATAATGGGGAAGTGTCTTCTTTGAAATTTGAATAGTACTCTAACATCAGAAGGAGTTATTGTCATCCGAGGTATCAAAACTTTATCACCTGCATGATCGCCAGTAAGAATTTTACACTCGAGAACATGATTGGAGAGTTTAGTCACAACCAATCGTGTACCATTGCAGAAGCCTATTGAATGATCCATATTCCGCAACAACATAACTGGAGTTCCGACTTTCAAATTCAATTCATGGTTCGGCGTTCCAGAACACTTGATAGTGTTCAAGAACTCAGGAGTATGGAGTTGTGCCACAAAGTCGGTATTGGAGTCGGATTTACACGTACTGTCTGAACTTAAATACGTGCGTCCCTCAGTCAAATTTAACGACGATATGTATTCATTAATAGATTCTACGATATCGAGTGTTGGCGCAAGTATAGCTCTATCCTTCAAGTAACTTGGATCGTCGGTTGTATTCTTGAACATCGGAAACGTGCTTTCAACAATTTTTGCAATTGGATCATCGGATGACTCTAGTAATAGATCATCTGGCATGTCTATCGGATAACATCCATCATTTTTACCCCCAATGTTCCATCTCCAATGCTCGCTATCCAATCAGCAAAAGCGACCAACTCGTCACGTTCATTCGAATCGCCAATGCTCTAAAGACGCATAGTTTTTGTAAGCCTAAACACAGTACATTCTCTCAAAATGCTAGAAGAGTTAATAGCAGCATTAACAATCTCCTGACGAATCCCCTTTGGAACTATCGGAAGGATTTGTAGAAAGTCTCCACCAAACACAACAGTCTTGCCTCCGAACGGTTTATGATGATTTGTCGGGTCGAGGGCTCCCATTATTGCCATAAAAGATGCTTGAACAACTTCAAAACAATGCTTATGCATCATTGGGGCCTCATCCCATATGATCAATGAAGAGCGAATAATCAACTCGGCAAGGGGGCTAGCCTGATTGATCTCACACGATGAATTTTCATGCACAGAAATAGGAATGCCAAATCGAGAATATTGTGCAGTTCATCCGCCCGAAAACAGGAGAGATGCTATTCCACTTGATGCAACACAAAGACAATTCGACCGTGCAATCTTAGTCGAGCAGCTAAAGTCCTCCACAAGTATGTCTTTCCAGTTCCACTATAACCATACACAAAAAACACGCCGCCCCTGCCGGAATGAACAAATGTCATTATTTTGGAATAAACACCCTTCTGTTCATCGATCATATGTTTCAGCAATGCATCATGCTCAATAGCTAGAGCCTTACGGTCATAGTTAAGTTTATCCAAAACCAGACGGTTCGCACTTGAATTAATACTACCCATATCTGGAAAAGGCATAGTAGAATAGTCCTTTATCCCAAACCCAACCTAACTCAACCCAACATAATATTTATTTTATATTTATTTATATATTTATTAAATATTATCAACAATATTTTTTTGTTATTGTTTTAGTTGTGATATGATAAAAAAAAATATGATAAAATTGATAAGTTACGGTTAAGAAAAAAGAGTGAAAAGATAGAAATTGCAATTATGTTCCAAAATATATCAAGAGTGGTCTCTCTTTATAGAGAATGAAAAATAAATTTTTATTTATCTTTTCATATAAATTAATATCAATAATTTGAGTTACAATTATCTTATTATAGAAAAATTTTATAGACCAATAAGAATGAGACACTTGCCCCATTTCACTCACCTCATTTCTCTCTCTCCTTGTGGCTAGGTTGGGATCTAGGGTCACACTTTGACCTGAGTCGCGGATTTTGCTATTTTTTATTTTTTTTATTATTTTTAAGTTGGTGACCTAATAAATATAGTATAATATTTATTTTATTTTTATTTATTTATTTATTTTATAAATATTGTCTACAATACATTATTTGGTATTGTTTTATCTACAACCTAAGCCAACATAATAATTTTAATTGTGTTCCAAAACATATCAAGAGTGGTCTCTATTTATAGAGTATGAAAAAATACGAATTTTGGTATTTTTTATTTTATTTTTTAAAATAAAATAATATCAATAATTTGAGTTACTTATCTTATCATATAAAATTATAGTGGACCAATGAAAATAGGACAAGTGTCCCATTCATAATGTATGAAAGTTAAATAATATGGAATCTCCAAAAAATATTCATGTAATCTTTTTATTTAGATTTTTTAATTTATTTATTTTTCAAAATTTTCAAAATTAGTTGGATGGCGCTCGAATTTTAAATTTTAGCCAAAAATCTTTCTCATTTTATTCACTTTGGGAGGGAATTGACTTCTTTTTTTTGCTGATTTTTTTTCATCTTTTTTCAAATAAATATCATTCTCCCTTTATATATTAATAGATTATCTTATTAACGTGGGCAACACATAGGTTTGCTAACTCTTAACGTGGGAGTTAATTAATTCGAGGCTACCTACTCTATTTTTTTAGTTTAACTTGTGCGATTATAATAATGTTGGGTCAGCATTAGGTTTGACCAAATCTTAACATGTGAGTTAATTATTATTATTATTATTATTTTTTTTTTTTTTTTTTT